AAGCAGCAGGAAAACAAATTTCCATAAAAGTCTTGTAGAAGGTGGCATTACTGTAGTGTGCTTCATGCTAACTGTTATCTTAAGTTCTGTTTGAAGCTGCATTGTCTGTCTGGATGATGTTTTCACTTCCTGCCTGCTATCTGAGGAGGTGTAAGAGCTAAAATATCTTAAGTATGGTGTACCTTTTTTGTTATAGCCCAATGTAGTGTCTATAAACAAGAACCTCTTAATGCCTTTTCTTTTTCAAGACCTGTGAAGCTATGAACTCCATATAATAAGCAGCTCTGTTAGGGGCTGTACATGTCTTGACACAGAGTTCTGGGAAAAATCTGTTAGCTGTCCCCCTAAGCATAGTTGTTCTCTTGTCTTTCAGCAATTCCAGTCCGAAGCTCCAGGCTACCATTGCTGTCTGATGCCATGCCAGCACCAGCTCATCTGTTTCCGTTGATTCGTAACTGTGAGATTAGCAGAATATGCAGTACTGTGTGTTACTGCCACCATAAACATCTGTGTTGTTTATCTCATTTTGCTCACAGTCACTTCAGATATGCATCTCAGAAGAGATTTGTGGCACTTCATAGGCCAAAGGAGAACTTTAATTACTTTATTCACACAAGGGATTATGCTTCTACACCACAGAGGTTTTACCTCACTCCTCCACAGGTCAACAGCATTCTGAAGGCAAATGAATACAGTTTCAAAGTCCCAGAATTTGATGGTAAAAATGTAAGTTCTGTCCTTGGCTTCGATAGCAACCAGTTGCCTGCTAATGCTCCAATAGAAGACCGGAGGAGTGCTGCCACTTGCTTACAGACAAGAGGAATGCTTTTGGGTGTGTTTGATGGCCACGCAGGTTGTGCTTGTGCTCAAGCTGTCAGTGAAAGACTGTTTTACTACATTGCTGTCTCTTTGTTACCTCATGAGACTTTACTTGAAATAGAAAATGCTGTGGAAAGTGGCAGAGCTCTGTTGCCCATTCTACAGTGGCACAAGCATCCCAATGATTATTTTAGCAAAGAAGCTTCCAAGCTTTACTTCAATAGTCTAAGAACTTACTGGCAGGAGCTCATTGATCTCAACAGTGGAGAGACTACTGATGTGAAAGAAGCTTTAATTAATGCTTTTAAGAGGCTTGATAATGATATTTCTCTGGAAGCTCAAGTAGGAGATCCAAATTCTTTTCTCAACTACCTTGTACTGCGAGTAGCATTTTCTGGTGCAACTGCCTGTGTGGCCCATGTGGATGGTGTTGACTTGCACATTGCAAACACAGGTGACAGTAGGGCAATGCTCGGGGTTCAGGAAGAAGATGGATCTTGGTCTGCAGTTAATCTGTCCTATGACCACAATGCACAAAATGAACATGAAGTGGAACGTGTGAAAATGGAGCATCCAAAGTCCGAGGAGAAAAGTCTCGTGAAACAAGATCGTCTCTTAGGTCTCCTGATGCCTTTCAGAGCTTTTGGTGATGTGAAGTTTAAATGGAGTATTGAACTACAGAAGAGAGTAGTAGAATCAGGCCCAGATCAGCTGAATGACAATGAATATACAAAGTTTATTCCTCCAAACTATCACACTCCCCCATACCTCACAGCTGAGCCAGAAGTCATACATCACAAATTACGGCCGCAGGATAAGTTCCTGGTTTTGGCCACAGATGGGCTGTGGGAGACAATGCACAGGCAAGATGTGGCTAGAATTGTAGGGGAGTACCTCACTGGTGTTCACCATCAACAGCCAATAGCTGTTGGTGGCTATAAGGTAACTTTGGGACAGATGCATGGTCTCTTAACAGAAAGGAGAGCAAGAATCTCTTCAGTATTTGAAGATCAGAATGCAGCAACTCACCTGATACGTCATGCAGTGGGTAACAATGAGTTTGGCACTGTGGATCATGAGCGACTGTCCAAGATGCTTAGTCTTCCAGAAGAGCTGGCTCGAATGTATAGAGATGACATTACAATTATCGTGGTGCAGTTCAACTCACATGTTATAGGTGCATGTCAAAATGAGGAACTGTGAATTTAATGTAGTGAACTAGTTACCAAAGTTGTAACAATGGCCAGTATAAGCAGCAAATAAAAAACAACCACCCAACAATAAACCCCAAAAAAACCCTCAGCAAACAAATTGGTTGCTTGCTAGATTCAGCATATCTATTGTTTCTGCCTTCCCCCAGAGCTCTAAATACATGGGAAGTGCTATTGACCTAATACAAACTTGAAGAGGATGTCGTAGCTTGGGAAAAGAGGTTTTTGTAATAACTTTGCACTATTCATTTCATGAATGCTGCTAGAACAATGTCTTGAATTTGGCAGACTTGGATGAGGGAGGGAAGGAGGATGAAGAATTAACTATCAAAGATCTGGCTGTTTAAGAAACAAAACCTGTTTATAAATATCTGTAAATATCTATACATTATCTTAAAGAAAAGATGAGTAAAAAGGAGTATTGTTGAATTCTTACAGGGCTAATTCTTGCAAAGTAGATATGGTTATTTGTGAATATATTGTCTACTGTTTCTTCTAAGCAGAAGGTCACTTTAACCAAGTAAGTCTTCAGTGTAACAAAGCTGTCTCACTTTCACATAGACAATGTCACTCACTTAAGGATATTTGTCTAAGTGTTGACTTCCAATGCAGGTCTAAGCCATAATCAATACCTGAGATTCTGTCACAGCTTAATCATATCTTATGCAAGGTAACTTATAAACTTCTCGTGCATTAATAGTTTCTTGGCTGTGGGTTTCTGCACAACTTGTAGGGCAATAATACCTTGCAACATCCAGTAAGATACCAGATAATTTTGTGGAGGACTTCAGTTTGCAGTATGAAGAAACTTTCAGACTTTCCAAAAAGTCAGTGGTGTTGGTCAAGACTGTGTTGGCTTTCCTAAAGGTCACGTCCTTCATGGACTCCACCTCTGTCTGGTGTTACTTATCTAGTAAATAAATATTCACCTGAAAAGATCAGGAAATCATTGCTAACCTCTTTGTGGCTTTGAAATTTGCACTCATTTTCACTTTAGCTATTTCAAATGGTCACATATTGGATGTCTTGCACTTGAACTTGTATTTTTTTAAGTTGGGTTAAAAACTACAAATTACAAAAAAATTGAAGTATGGCTTGTAAATAGTATTTTAGTTGGGGAAACTGGCATGCATGTGTATGTTTAATGGCTTTTTCTAGCAACTTCTTTATTAGCAGCTCTGTATTTCTGGACAGCTGGTGTATGCATGTTCTTACAGTCCAGAATGCTATTACAGAGCAATCTCTGAAATGGGTCTCTGGCTTGTAATAGTTGAATTTGAACTTAAAAGATTGGCTATAACTTGTGTGCCGGAAGTTGTTGGGCTTGTAACTGTAAAAAGTAGGGACTGACAACTAATTTATCAGTCATCATTGCATCTATTTTAGGTATGTTGCATTGTATACAGATTTATTTTAACCTGCCCTTAGGTTAAAAACGCGAATGCTGGCTGAAATACCAGCCCTTGATGACTGAGAGAACACATGTGACTTGATTCCTGTGTTCTAGAGAACAATGATAGGTCAGCTTACTTCACTTTACCAAGGTGTTTCTGTTAAAATACCTCCCTAGCCTTCATCATAACTAATTAAATCAACACTTTAAAAACCTAGCTTATTTTGGTTACTTGAGTAATGTGGCATTTTCTACTAAATACAAATATCACCAATTAATGCTACTGTTACATAGGGTACACTTAGTTTGAACAATGAACTTGTGCTACAGTAAACATCGGCTCCTCAAACTCCCAAATGCTGTGTGTACTTAGTGGCTTGCAGCTTTAATATGTCTGTTTCTTTACCCAACCTTAAATATCAGGATCAATGTTGCTGTATGGTTAACGATATCTAAGTTCACATTCAAGATGTGCATGACCCTTCTTTATTTGAAGGGAAAAGGGGAACTCTAAAATGCTTAGACAAGTAGTGGCTGTTGACATTTCTTCTGTATGTTGTGTTTTGGTGACTCTGTCATTAACTAGGTCAATAGACTTTATGTTCTATCATTCTAAGCTGTTGCAGTATTTAACTTTCTTACTTTTTTACTGTTACATCAATACATGTAATAGAGCTTTATTTAACCTATGATTATTGATACGGATTTGGTACAAGTCATAGCTAGAAGAAATGAACATTGGTCCCATGGATACAACTTTTATTGAGGAAAAGCTGCTTTTTGTAGTAAAGATGCATGTGTATGGGGTCAGACAAAATAATATTTATGTATTGCTTGGAGACTTGCTCAGTATGTATACAGTGAACAGAAGCAGCATAACTGCCTGCTTAACAGGTGATCTGAACAAACATCTTCTAACAGATTCCAATAAAATGATCAATTATGCAGAAGTCCATGTGTATTGGATTGATATAGAATGTGATAGCTATTCTGCTGTGGCTGAAGCTTATGAATTACTTGTATTTCAAGAATGTGTTCTGTTGTGTAGTCCCTGTTACAAATAGACCAGATGGCCAAACAAAATACAAATGGAAACAGACTGAGAATTGGCCTTCAGAGCTCTTAAATGCCACTGTGAGGCTTGAACCCCTGCATCAGGCATGCTGGTGCTGCCGCCCCCTGGCAGCAAAGCTCACATCTTTCTGTCAGTGTCACAGCATGTCTCAGTTCCCATCATCTCGTGATTACCTTCGGGGCAGTGCTGCAGGTAAAGCAGCATAACTCGAGATCATTAAGTTGTGGACTCTACCCTATGTAGGGCAATACAATGTTTCATAAATGATCTAAAATACTTATTTGCAGATGAAAATGGCATAGGAATGAATTGATGGTAAACTAAATAGAAACAGCTCTTCTGCCACAGGCAGAGGACATGTTCTGTTTGCATTGTCTACCAAACTTGTTGCATTGCAGAAAGTACAGCTACTTTATATGTAAGGGGGATGCTGTGATTACTTTTCCAAATACGGATTTCACAGCTGCAAATATATGGCTCAACCCAGAAGAGTGGTTGAATCTTGACAGTCAACACAAGCCTTCAAGTTCACCTTTAAATCTTAAATCTTTAAAATTGTTCTAGATGAATGTGTCAACAGAACTGTTTAACAGTAATACTAGGTAAGAGAGGAGTGGGAGATCTTCTCTTAGTCTGTGTTGCCAACTTATGGCTGTTAACTCTGTTCCCTTGTGTTCAAAATGGTATGTGCATTATACTTGCTTTTGACAGTATTTAACAACTACTGTTGTGATAACATGTATTTTCCACCCGCCTTCTATGTGCATGACTCGGTGAGTACAGAACTTACTAAATTATTTTCCCTTTCCACTTATTTCTTCATTGCAGGGCAGAGTTTTACATATAGCGGACTTGTAAAACATGACACATACAGCAAGGAGCATAGTCTCATCACAAAATGTTGTTTGTAATTAGACTCTTAAACTCGGGTTCCTGTACTTAGAACAATTCTGGAGTGAGAGGATGCCTGGTAACTGTTTCTGATAAGTGCTCTGCAGGATGGCTAGGCTGCTCTGTTCTTCCTCAGTGGGGAGGCATATTTGTAATGAGATTACCTGGCATAAATGGATAATTCAGGTTTCCAGTTCTAACCATCTGTGGTGTCCAAAGCTCCCTGATGCAGACAGTCTGTCTGGTTTCATGACTGCAATAAATACATGCCATCTGATTTGCACCAGTGACCATTGTGAGCATCAATGCTGCTGCACAGCAGTCCAAGGACAGTGCTGGCACAAGGCCTTTTGGGATGCTGAGGGAGTTGGCATCTTTTAGTTAATATGTTTGGTCCTACATAAGAAACTTGTGCAGCTACTGATGGTTGTTCAGTCATGTATAAATAGAAACAAAATCTGTGTAGTTGGAAGATCTGGTCAAAATGCCCTGTCTTTAATTTCTTTAAATGCTTTAATGAAGCTTAGAATGAAGCAGACCCTATGGGTAGGGGGAGAGGTAGCTTTCTTCCAGCCTGCCAAATGGCATACTGCAGCTTGGTGTCATTATCTTGCTATATGTACAATGAAGAAGTTAGGTTTAAGTTGACGTGAGAAAGTCCAATGTGTCTGTCTCCAGAGATAATCATCTATATCCTGCTGAGAGGCACTTCAAGTGTGGTAGCATTCCCCAAGCACTGTTTTGGCTGATGCTTCTTTCTGTTCTGTTCAGAGGCTTACATATAGAAGTTAAGGAGATCACAGAATCATTAAGATTGGAAGAGACTTCTAAGATCATCGAGTCCACCCGTCAACCCAACACCACCATGCCCACTAAACCATGTCCCTAAACGCCTCATCTACACGTCTTTTAAATACTTCCAGGGATGGTGACTCAACCACTTCCCTGGGCAGCCTGGTCCAATGTTTAACCACTCTCAGTAAAGACATTTTTCCTCACATCCAATCTAAACCTCCCCTGGCGCAACTTGAGGCCATTTCCTCTTGTCCTTTCGCCAGTTACTTGGGAGAAGAGACCAACACCCACCTCGCTACAACCTCCTTTCAGGTAGTTGTAGAGAGCAATGAGGTCTCCCCTCAGCCTCCTTTTCTCCAGGCTAAACAACCCCAGCTCCCTCAGCTGCTCCTCATAAGACTTGTTCTCCAGACCCCTCACCAGCCTCGTTGCCCTTCTCTGGACACGCTCTAACACCTCGACGTCCTTCTTGTAGTGAGGGGCCCAAAACTGAACACAGTATTCGAGGTGTGGCCTCACCAGTGCCGAGTACAGGGGCACGATCACTTCCCTACTCCTGCTGGCCACACTATTTCTGATACAGGCCAGGATGCCGTTGGCCTTCTTGGCCACCTGGGCACACTGCCGGCGCATGTTCAGCCGGCTGTCAACCAACACCCCCAGGTCCTTTTCCCACAGGCAGCTCTCCAGATACTTCATTGTTGTGTATTTGGTCCTGTGTTAAAACAAATGTGCTTAAAATGAAGTGGGCATTAGAATGAATGCATTCATGGTTTCTCATGCAAGATTAACTGTTTTGTACTTTTTCCATATTTTTATTTGAAAGCCCTCCTTTGCCAAGTGCCTTTAGTTTCAGGATCTTTACCCCCTTCTTTTGCTTTTTAGTCAACAGTGACTGTAGGAGGTATTAATGTCTTTCCTAGCACTGAAGTATTTGTGCAGGAAAAAGGCTTGCTAATGTGTTCTGGATTAAATTATTTATTCAACAGCGACAGCATATTTAATTGCTGTGCAAACAAGTAGATATTTCCCTTTGTCAGGAGCATGTTGTCAATACAATCTATGCAAACTCATTAGTAGAATATTTTTTGGTTTAGTGTTAACCTGATTGACCAAATCTTGATTAGGGAGTTATTTCTTGTAGTTTACTCCTTTAAAATATAGTGTTAATTAGCCTGTAGTTTAAAGCTAAACAAATGTTCTTATCATCAAATACCTGTGCAGTGGAGGAGACACATAGGTTCACTTTTTTCTCCTATCACAACCAGCTAGATATTAAACATTATTAATAACTTTTTTTAACTGCTGTCTTGTAAAAGCCAAAACTTGGAACTAGTTCCTGAGTTGCTCTGACCATGGGAAGTAGGTTCTTAGGGGAGGGGGAAATAAAAATAGACCAAATCTTGTAATTAATCCTTTAAATGGACAAAATAATTTGAATGTTGCCCCTTGCTGTTTGGCATCCCGTCCATGTGAACGCTGAAGCACAACCCCTGTCAGTTGTACATAGTGTGTTGTTTCAATGGAAGAAACTTGAGTAGAAGAACTGAACTCAAAAGCCCACTTGACAGGTTTCAGTAGTAACAAATTGCCCACCTCACTGGTGTGGTGATAAGTCCAGGGTCACATTTGCTGTGCAAGAGATAAGACTGTGCTCTTGGCTTACTGTGCTGGTTATGCCTTCTGTTTTATTTGCTGCTCATATATATTTTAATAATAAATTGCTGGGTAGTGGAAAGGAGGACCTGACTTTCATAATTGGATCACAAATGGAGCATAAGTTGGCAGGAGCATTGTGTGGTGAAAAGTAATCCGAGATGGATAAATGGTCTGTTCTCATCTCTGCTGCAAGGCCTGAGGGTAAAAAAAAACCCAAAACCACCCAACCAAATTGTCTTGTATTGATCAGTGTGCAAGTCTTCTGAAACTGAACTTGTTGCAAATGACTCATCTAATCAGTCATGAAGCTTTCCAGGATGACATAAAACAACCTAAGAAAATACAGGCACTGTTCAGTATATGGTGATAGCCAGGTACTTTATTTTGCTTGTGGCAATTAACAGGAAATGAGATTTTTTTTTTTATGTTAACAGATAAAAAGAGTAGACTAAAAAGCTACTCCCCTCAAAAAATCAGGTCCACACAGTACAAATGTGCAGGGTGGTGCTAGACTTCTGATTATTTTGGGATGGTTCCCCCTATATTCTTTCATCTCATTCTGTGTTGGGGGGGAAGGGTGAAAAAACCAACCAAGTGTATATCTGTTCCTATGGTTCCTAGTCTGAATAAGTAATCAATCTTACAGATTGCAGGGATGTTTATGCAGCAGGCTCTTTGCTATCATCATGGTGGATCTTTGAACAGAAAAAATATCCTTGATCTATAGACTTTCTATTAGATTTCCGAGCTAGGAAATCCTATTTAAGAAAACTTGCCAATGCCAAAGTATTTTTATATAGCATCATGAACAAGCTGTTCAGTTTTAATATCCTATATCTGTACTTGACAGTAGCATTTGATGTATTGCCTCATATCTTAATTGCAAAATTAATCCAGGTCTGTCTGTCATGTCACATGATGCTGAAAGACAGGAAAAATGCCTGATGCAAACAAGGAAATCATTGATGTTAACAGGAAAGCAGCTCATGAGCTGACACACAACCATGCATTAAGCCCAGTTTCATTCAAAAGCTCTGTATCTTAATGAAATGAATCAGCTCCCTATGACTTTTGTCTTTGTCAGAATTGTTGCAAGCCTATAATTATTAATTCTGTAGGTCTTCCCTGTTGCCCATCCCTAGTACTTCCTTACCCACTGTGGTGGCTCAACAGCTGGGCTAATATAAGAATACTGTTTTCCAGGATTTTACAGATTATAAGCAAGTTAATTAAAATGGCTAATGGTAATCAGTCAGCATTCACAGTTTTAGGCAGCTGGGAGAGGAGTAAATGGTGCTTCCCTAATAGCAGCCTCTCCTAGAAAGGGAAAAGGTAAATCTTTATTCATCTCTTAACAAAAACTGGCAGCTGTACAGAAGACCTAGCTATACCACAGCAGTGCTTGACAGGGATTTATTACTCCTGCTAAGCAGCAAGGTGTATTAATCTGCACAGCATGCTACATTAGTATTAGTAGCATTAGTACAGCTCTACCACTCTGCTCCTCTGGAAGTAGTTCAAGTGTCCCTG